CAATATAGTGTTTATGAACATTCAAAGTCTGCAATAGGCGACATGATAACGACAAACTTCAGCTCCCCCTTTATGGTGTTTCGATGAGAAGTGAATTCCAGAAAAAAATTGGCTAGCTGTCGAGCCTCTAAATCTTCCATTTATGCTTGTCATGACGAGGACTAGTCTTCCCTTTAATGCTTCAGCAGCGATCTCTCCCAGACTCGATTGGGTTAAAGAAGCCATATTATATTGGAGCCACATGTCTATTTCTTCACATGATCATTAAGGCGACTCTCCCTATCCGATTTCTCGCCACCTTCCATCTTATGCCTACAAATAGATAAGTCCAATTCGAATGGCTTACAAACTTGCCTTGCCTGTGATTCTAAGTTCGAGTTATCGATCTCTATAATACTTTGGATCTTCCCGGCAAGTTTACAGAGGAAGGAATTGGAGCTGAAATCGTAATTGGAGAACAAAATTAGGATTAGAGGAGAAGAGGAGGAGAGATTGGGGAAGAAGATCAGAATAAAGAAGTAGACTGAGAACGAGAGGGAGAAAGCAGAAAGAAGAGTTGAGGAAATTGATTTAGTAGTTTCTTATTGGATAGCCTTGTTTCAATACAACCAATCCTATTTATATGAAATCCTAATTACAAAATGATCATCATATTCTATACCCTATTACAACTACATCCCGATCGTTACAAATCCCCACCTCTTGAAAACATGCTTGTCCTCAAGCATAGTGAAACAAAAAATGGGAAAACAACAAGAAATCAATAATAGTCGGTAGATAAGGAACTTTTGCAGCAAACCATCAACACCTACATTCCGAGCACGGTACTACTGCCACCATGTAGTCCCTTTCTGCACATGTAGACCCGTAACAACGGCTACCATGAAGTGCCTTCCTGCAATCCATACATGACGGGATTCGTACTTGTTCCCATAACAATCTGCGGCAAGCACAACAGCAAAGACTGGCAACAGTAAACTATGAAAATTGGATGCTCCACCAACTTTCTTTCATGAGAAAGGACAACATAACCCATTTGAATAGCCCACAAGTCGGCATCCCAATCAAACCACACAACTTCCCTAGTTAAAAATGGTTTGTACGATTCTTCAAAATCAGGGCAGGCTCCTCTGCCGTAAGGAAAAACAAGTACAAAAATCAATTGATCAAACGGTTCATAGTTCTTGTTGCCCTCTAGAAAAGGATCCTTATACGGTTCCTTGTAGATAGAATCTTGTCCCCTACCATGAGAATCAATGATAGCATAGTAATAACCCCAAGAATTAAGCTCATAAGCTTCACCAACCATTCTCCTAGCCACCTTACAGACACGTAACTTCCCAGTCTTTTGAGTGCTTTGCAATAGCCTCCAATTAAGCGTTGCCCGCTGCTGCCACTCAATCACGAGCACGGGGAATCCTGTATAAACCCCATTTCCCTCATAATTACCCATAACATACCTAATAGGTAATGGATTCATGACATAACCAATGTTTCATGCATCTCAGTAACAGCCAACAATGAGATATCACCTTTGGTTCGAATGGCCAAATGAGTAGCCAAATAATTGGTATCTGAACTAATCTTCTTCAACCATACGAAGGCTGAGAATTTTGCAACAGGTGAAACAAAATCACCACAGCCCACACAGGCGTGCTCATAGAGATCACAAAACAACTCCTTATTGATGTTTCCCCCTAAAGCACCATCCTTGTGTGGCTCTTTGAAATCAGGACAACTACCCATACCACAAGAGCTTACACAAGGACCATAGTAAGTGGGATAAAATTGATATCCATAACCCCAGCTGCCCTTCCTTAATTCCACACTACAACCCGTGAACCCAAATTCAACACTGCCCCATCCAAACCTTTGCCATTGGCAACATGTAATCTAGGCTGCAAAATGACATGCCCATCAATGCAACCAATCACAGCGTTGGCACTAAAGCCATTAATCCCTGCAAGCAGCTGAGAACTTTTATATTCTAACAAACAACCAGAATCTCTTCCATGCAAGCAAACAACCACATCACAGCAATATAGACAATTCAGCTTATCGTCGGAACCAAACAGTTCGTGATTCTTGCAACCCAACAGTTCATGATTCTTGTTGCGCTCTATAGAAGGATATTTGTATAATTCCTCGAAGTTCGGACAAGGATTTCATCGTTTAAAATTCACCCGAGGCCAACAAGTCCCAATCCTATAACCCATTTGCAAAATATAATCCAATTCACCTTGGAACAATCCCTTTCTGAACTCTCGAGAAGCAAAGAAAAACTTGCTAGGAAATGGATAGCTAAGGCATACTTGAGGCTCACAAACTGTAGTATGTTCCTTGCTCTGAATCTGCTGAGCAGCACCTGGTTCTGCTGATCCCTCTTCCCCAACTACTGGTACTTGTTTTGTAATTACCGTAGTTTGAGGCTGCTGCAAGTTTACAAGATTATTTTTTGTTGAGTAAGTTGTAGCAAGAGGGATACGTTTATTTTCACCAAGTAGATCACCGTTTCCATCAACCATGTTTGAAGGAAGAAAAGATTCTGTAGTCACAATCGTTTTCCGTTCCACCGAACCTATGAAATGACTAGGCTCGCCAATCTATAATTTGCAGTCCGCAATGACATCTTCTTCCCATTGAGCTCAATTGTAGGCTTGAGCTAATGTTCGATTATAGGGGTGCAACATGGACAGAACTGGCCGTAGCACTTCTTGTAAACCACTGATAAATCTCGAAATGAAAAATTCCTCGTCCAATGTAGGACTAAATCGAGCCATCAGTGATTTCAATTCCTCAAACTGTGCTTTATACTCTGACGGCAACCCTTGGTGCCTAAGCTCGTAAACTCGTTGAGGAAAGAGGGAATCTCCAAAAACTGAGTATATGGAGAATTACCTTCTAGTATTCTGTGAATTCCAGTTGCGGTAGGGAGATGGTTGGAAGACTTACGAGCTGGAATGATGGCAGAATAAACTACATCAAACAAAAGAGTCTTCATTGTAAAAACCTTCAGCTCGTCAATTCGTCGACTAGATGGTGGGCGGGTGATTTCAGCAGAGTTCCAGCCAGCCAAATGCTCCTCCTTGTCGGTAACTGCGACCGCAAAACCAGACCGACATCGCTCTGGCAAACTCAGCAAATTGCGGTCAAATCGACCTTCACTACCGTCCCAACGCATTGCCTTCGCAAATCGTCCTTCACTGCTGTCCTAACGCGTTGCCATCGCCATGGTTGCAAAGAAGAGGCTCTGATACCAATTTGTAATACTCTGGATTTTCCCGACAAGTTTACAGAGGATGGAATTGGAATTGAAATCGTAATTGTAGAAGATAAGTAGGATTAGAGGAGAAGAGGAGAAGAGATTGGGGAAGAAGATCAGAAGATAGAAGTAGACTGAGAACGAGAGGGAGAAAGCAAAAAGAAGAGTTGGGAAAATGGATTATGTAATTTCTTATTCGATAGCCTTTGTTCAATACAACCAATCCTATTTATATGAAATCCTAGTAACAAAATGATCCTCACATTCTATACCCTATTACAACTACATTCCGATCGTTACAATCTCCTGCCACAGACATCATACGTTTAGAAGTTCTTGGTTACCCACGAGGTCTCATCGATACTACCACTGTAGTCAAAATCTTGTTTTATAACTTACGAACTTACGTTTTTACACTTTTAGTTCCCCAAAATGCTTCTACGTAGAATCGTGCTTTTCACTTACAATTGTAGTTAGGGATGGAAATGGGGCGGGTTTGCCTAAACCATTCCCCATTCCCGCTTTCAAATATCCATACCCATACTCATCCCATACCCACGCGGGAAAGATTTTGCAAACTCATCCCCATACCCGTGGGTTTCGGGTACCCATGGGTAATACTTGCTCCGTACATCCAACATTATAATACCTAATATTTTACATGTAAATTTTCAATTACAACATTAAACACACCTACTATATCATGAAGTCAACAAAGAGACAATCATTTTTAATACGGTTCAAATTTCTTATCCTAAAACATCCATTAATCCTTAAGATAGAGTACAATAATCATTATTCTCTACTATAATGCATCTATTAAGTAGTAATTAACAAACATAATATTGTTAACAAGGGGGAAAAATAGAAAGAGTGAAGGGAAATTTGAGAGAAAGAAATTAGATTTTGATTCGGGTGGCCACTCAATTGCATTTGTACTTTATATTTTCTTAAGTTATACTCACTATTATATTTTCTTAAGTTATACTCACTATTATTGATAGATTACAAATTGCTTCACATATTTTTTCATATGTGAAGAAATACTTTTGGTACGGGTACGGGTATGAGGCGGGGAGGCTAAAACCATACCTGCCCCATACCCATCAAACTTTTTGCGGGTGTTATCCATACCCACCCCATACCAAGTCAATGCGGGGATTCCCCGCATTGACTGGGTGTCTGGGTCGGGGCAGTGGGATACCCATGAGCATGAGTTTGATTGCCATCCCTAATTGTAGTCAATATCTAGGGTAAAATACCTCCAATATCACTTAAGTTTGAGAATTGGGGGAGTTATATCACTTAAGTTAGAATAGGGCGTTGGGTACCACTTATATTGTTAAAATGAGCATCTGTTAGTTTTTCCATCCAAGTAACTAACAGTTCAAATAAAAAATTATTTGTTTGCCATCTCAGCAGGTTCCGGACATGCTTAGTCACATTTTATTTTTTTTAATATAATTTTTGAGTATTTTGTAGAGGAAAGTGAACTGCTAGTGATTTCCCCCTTTCTCTATCCAGCCCCAGCAGTCGGCGCTGGAATTGCTTGGCTACCATCGCGACTTGTAGAACAAATCGAGTGAAGCGGCATCATCAGTGCCATCGGCGCCGTCCACTTTGCATCACCATCGCCACCTGTAGAGCACGGAACGAGCCGGTCATCAGCGGCAGCTCCTGGGTCGTTTGTTAATAATTCCCTTAACGGATCGGGAGATTGGACGTCAGAGATTCTCCGATGCCCAAAAAGCAGCGAATCAGGAGATTTTGCAGCCGATCCAGCAACCGGCAACTCCAGAGCTCCAACAATAGCTTCTGGATCGGGCAATTCGGCACACCTTTTGGATTTGAGTCCAACGATTTAGCAGCGACATTTGGCGACCCCAGACCTCTAGCAACGACGACTGGATCAGGAGATTCGACAATTGAATCAACGTTCGGCAACGGCAGACCTCCAGCAGCAGCCTGTGGCTCCGGCTCCGGGATTCAGCAGCACCCCAGGCGAGAATGGCAAGCAACAACGTTACTGCACTTCAACAAAAATAGCTCCGTCGTCGCCCCACCAACTCATCGTCGCCACCACCACCGCTCCACAATCGACATGCAATTCCAAACCTAATTATTCAAACAACGATTCAATTCAATTTCCCTCTGACCACGGAGGTGAAAAATGGGACGAAGGCGGTGAGGAGTTGGCAGAGGAGGGACTTCTGGCGGTGAGGTGTTGGCAGAGGAGAGACTTCTGGCGGCAGTGGCAGTTTTTTTATATGTTTTTGCTGTAGGAATAGATAAAAACAATGGCCGATTTTATAAAAAAAGTAAAATATGACTCAACATGTCATGGGTCAACGCTGAGTTGACAAATAAATAATTTTTTATTTCAACTGTTAGTTACTTGGACGGAAAAATTAAGGGATGTCCATTTTAACAATATAAGTGGTACCCGATGCCCTATTCTAATTTAAGTGATTTAGCTCCTCCAATTCTCAAACTTAAGTGGTATCCGAGGTATTTTACCCTCAAGATCTACACTTTACAGTGACGTTTTTATCCTTCTATGTCACCAACATGCTTCGAAATAAAATCACAATTTTGATTGAATTGGATACGATGTTATTGTTCCCTGACTGAGAGTCTCGTAGAGCTCGATCATCGAAACCTTACTCTTATAACAATTGATGCATACAAATACTACGCATCAATGAAACAATATTCTACTATATTTCTACCCCTAAAAAGTCATACGAAAAGATAAACTGGATTCTTATTCAATGCATAAACTGAAAGATAATGTACATATTTATAATAGAACCTAAAAAAACCTAATCCTTTACTAATATTGCGAGGAATTGATAACTTATTCCCAAATAAACTATCATTGCACCTAAATGATGAATATGACTCCATAAACTAAACCGACTTAGTTAATTAAAAAATAATTTGACATGGGTAATAATGGATAATAATAATAATAATAATAATAATATTGCAGTTTCCCAAAAAGTCTCATATGTATCAGCGACCGGCAATAGAAGCGATAGGCTCCAAACCATGGTAAAGGAAACCGGATCGTATTGGCCGGTTGAACCGGTAAAATCGGAAATCGGCGCCTGGCCGATACGATACACGGTTTGTAGCGAAAGAAGCGTTCCGGCCGGTTTTACCGGCAAAACCGATTCAATTCAAAAAACCGCCCGGTTTTGGTCTAACCGGGGGTGAGCTGATAAGGAGGACACGTCGTCGTTTTGCATTAGGGAAAAAAAAAAGAAATCGGCCGAAGCCTAAAAGCAAAACCCTAAATCATCGGGCCGCTTCGTTTGCTGCCGCTGCCCACGCGAATTCTTTTCTTTTCGAGCGGCGACCCTCCATCCTCTGCTCGACGACCGGCGACCCTCCCTCCTCTGCTCGACGACCGGCGATTGTCTCCGGCACCGGCACTCGTGCCCCTCCCCTGCTCAAGAAGAACACGAGCAGAGACCCTACCTCCTCTGCTCGACGACCGGCGATCCTCCCTCCTCTGCTCGACGACCGGCGATCGTCTCCGGCACCGGCACGCGCGCCCCTCCCCTGCTCAAGAAGAACACGGCGGCAGCAGGTAAAGGAAACCCTGAACTGATCGAGATATCACAAAATAGAAAATACCCATGTTGAGTCTCTCTCCTTTACTGCTTGCTTAAGATATGAATAGTATGAATCAATGTTGGACTGGTCTTCAACTGTATATATATATATAGTATTCAGATCTCCAAACCAAAGACACTCTGATCTGAAGCCAAAAATAGCGAGGCTTTGTTGTGCTTTCTTTCACGGTATGATTTTTAATCATGTGACCATTACTTAATAAAAATGATTAGTAGATTGAGTTCCTTATCTATAAATTAGTCATTCTTCAGAAGGAACAACAGCTGTACTCTATTGTCCAATAAACTAAGTAAAAGAAAACTAAAAGAACTGAGTTCTGTGATTAAAACCAGTAGTAAAAGAAGCTTTTGAACTGCATTGCATTGCTTCAGAAGGAACAACAGATTATATACTGAGCTACATTGCATTGCTTTTGAACTGCATGATCCATGTATTCCTGCCCTGTATGTTTTTTTTTTCCAATGTTCTGCCTTTTATTCTAATGAGAATTTTGGCTGTTTTGACAGCAATGGCTAGTAGAAAAGAAGCCGGATCGGTTGATAAAGGAGCAACTGCTAGTAATCCGAAGGTTACCGCAAAGGGTGTACGAAGCAAAAGTGATCCAACTAGGCCTCATTGTTCCTTGCATCAGGATGGAAAAGTGGAGGTACTCACTTGCCTCTATTGTTAAAAAGAATTTAGAGGCGGAGGAATCACTAGAATGAAAAAACATCTAGCTGGTGTTAGTGGGGATAATGCAATATGCTCAAGTGTTCCGGAAGAGGTGAGCGAAAACATGCAGAAGCTATTGACTAATTATTAAACTAGTAAGAAGAAATCTGAAGTTGTCAAAGCTGGATTTAAAGAACCTCGTGATACAAATTCTTCTAGTGCACAAGATGATAATAGTGCTAAAAGAGTTGCTCCTAATTTGTCTACGGGCTCGGTTGACACTTTCTTTGCTCCACGGTCATCTTCCGGTAGTCAACCGGGAATAAAGAGTGCATTAGCAACTAAAGAAGCTGTATTGTATGTGGATCAAGCATGGGCTAGATGGTTCTATGATGCATGCGTTCCTTTAGAAGCAATTAAATCTCCACAATTTAAAATAGCATTGGATGCTTCTATGACTCTTGGTCCTGGTTATGGTGGTCCTACATATTATGCTTTGAGGTTTACTTTGTTGGATAGCATTGTGAATGAATGTCACCTATTGATTGAGAGTTTGAGGTCTCACTGGAAGGAATCTGGATGCACTATTATGGCGGATGGTTGGACGGATAATAGGCGTAGATCCTTAATCAATTTTCTTGTGTATTCTCCTGCTGGAACATGCTTTGTGAAGTCCATTGATGCTTCTGGTTTGGTCAAGAGTGGAAGGAACTTGTTTAAGTTATTTTCTGAGGTCATTGAGTGGGTTGGAGCGGAAAATGTTGTTCATGTGGTGACCGATAATGCATCCAACTATAAATTGGCAGCGATAATGATACATGAGCATTATGGTCATATATATTGGACTCCTTGTGTTGCTCATACCCTTAACTTGATCTTGAGTGACATTGGATCTATTCCTCATGTTAAGAAGCTTGCCTATCGAGCTACCAAGGTCTCCAAATTTGTTTACAATCATGGTCCAATTTATTTCTGGTTGAAGACAAAGGAGAATTGGAAAGAAATAGTGAGACTTGGTGCTACTAGATTTGCTACTAAATTTCTGAGTTTGCAGAGTACTTTTGAGCACATGCATGATTTGGAGGAACTGGTGATTAGTGAGTTCTTTGGAGAAAGTGATCTTTCAAGTACTAAGGATGGAAAGGATGTGAAGGCAATTGTACTAGATCAACAGTTTTGGGCTGATTGTGACTTCATTGTTAAGTTGACAGCTCCGATTGTTAAGTTCCTTCGAGTTGTGGATTCAGTAGTAAACCAGCAATGGGGTATGTGTATGATGGGATGACTAGGGTGTCAAATGCTATTAAGACTGTTTGTGGAGATAAGGAGGAGATGTACAAACCATACATGGATATCGTTAATAGGAGATGGGATAAGCACTTGAGCCGTGATTTGTTTATGGCAGCTCACTATCTTAATCCGGCTATGAAGTATGCTGAAGATTGGACAGAGGATAGGGCGGTGACATTTGGACTTCTTAATCTTCTTGAGAACTCGTCTTTATGTCCTGATAATAGTGTGGTGGTGGCGGAGATGAATTTGTATGCTGAAAAGGAAGGAAACTTTGGGAGGAAGATGGCAATAGATTCTGCACAGAAACAACAACCAGGTAATTAATATCACTTACATTGAAGTTCTTCTATTTATTACAATATTTAAGAAACTAACATCTATGTTTTATATGTAGATAAGTGGTGGAAATGGTTTGGCATTGATGCTCCAAATTTTCAGAAGTTGGCTATTCGAATTCTTAGCCAAACTGCTGCTTCTTCTGGTTGTGAACGTAATTGGAGTGTCTTTGAACGTGTGCATACCAAAAGAAGAAACAGATTGCAGCATAAAGTGCTTAGTAACTTGGTGTTTGTGAATTACAACTTGCGATTGCAGAATAGGTAAGGATTTGAAGTATAGAACTTGTGTGTTCAATTCATACTTTCTATGCTTACTATTGAATTGAATTATTTTATGTTTTCTACTTTGATTAGGGAGTATTATACCAAAAACAAAAAAGAATCATATGATCCCATAAGCCTTGAAAGCATTGATTCTACTGTTACTAGTCACTGGTTGTCAGAAGGGGAAGAAGGTTCATCTTCTAGGGAAAAGGAATTGGATATTGATGAGCTGGATCAAGCATTAGAAGAGGAAGGTTTGTTTGTAAATCAATTATGTATGATATGAATTCTAATACTAATAATTGATAATAATTCTTACTTGTTTTCTCTTGTATTGTAGTTGGTGATGAAGAAGATGAAGGGGACGACTTGGAGAATGTAGACTTATCTACATTTAGTGTTGTTTGACGATATGAAATGTTGTTTGTGAACATTGTAGTGCTTGCTAGTTTGTGTTTGTGGTAGTTGTGAACTTGTGGTTTGAGAATGTTGTTTGGTTTGAGAATGTTGTTTGAACTTGTGGTTTAAGAATGTTGTTTGTACTCGATCGTAAACATGCATTTGAACGATTATGTAGTTAATTCAGTAATGTTGCAGTTTGTTGAATTTTATATTACATATGCTTATTTAGTTTATTCAGGTTTGTTATCCGTTATATTCCGGTTTTATTCTGGTATTATTCCGAAACGGTATCTCAAATCTGCCGGTACGGTTTTTTCACAAAAAAATATTATTTATTTACAAAAATGGTATTTTGCTGGTACACAACGATTGAACCACGGTAGTACCACAAAATACTCTAGCACTGGCGGAGCCGGTATGACTTCCGATACGGTTTCCTTTACCATGCTCCAATCATGAGTAGTTTGAAATTTCTTATAACTATAGTTTTTTTTTATAACAACGTGTGTACTTTGGTAAAAATCCCCAA